TGCCTGTCCACGAATTTGGCACGAAAGGTGTGAAATCATCAACCAGTTGCACTTGATTACCACTCGCCTCTGGCTCTGGCCAAGGATGACTGGCCGACTGTAGGCAATGGCTCCATGGCCCATCCCCTTCCTAACGACATCCCCGAGGATACGACTTTGATAGACTGGCTATAAGGTCGGTCGTTAGAGAGGGGGACCACTGTACTGTCTAGCTTGCTTGTGTTTTTTTCGATTTTTGTGAGCATTTGGTCTTTTAATTCGATTTAATTTTTTACCTGATCTTTGGGCATTGTTTAGCTTTTAGTTCGCCCCCCATTAACACAGTGATATGTCTGCGGACTTACAACACTATAAACCGGGTTTCGATACCAGTGGTGGGCAGAGCACAAATAGCCCATTGTGTAGCTTTGTGCTTAATTACAAACAAACAAGGTTTTACTTTGTTTTCTTTTTACTTTTTATAGAGTTTTAGTTCTCTTTGCCTTTTTGATGGTTGAATGGCGCAGACAGCCTTGCTGCTTTTCACTACTAAACTCCAAACAACCAACTCTTACATAACAGATGATGGGACTCCTGTCCAAAACCACTGGGTACTTTCATTGTGGAGCTATTATGGATTTATAATCTATATTTTGGATTCTCTTTTATATTTCAGTAACCCCCAAGCAAGACTTCAAATTTAATTATGTCATTTATACAGTAAAGGTAAAAAAAATATTTTAGTAAGATTTTTATTTCTTCTTTTGTTTGAAGTTAAGCATAAAGCTAAGCAATGGGCTCTCTGCACACCAAGGTATCGAAACCGGGTTTCTAGCGTTTTAAGTCCGCGGACATACCACTGTGTCACTGTGGTTGGGGGCAATTTTGTAAGAATTCCTTATGTTTAACCGCAGAATGGTGGTAAGAACTGTGGCCTTTTTGCTATAGCATTTCTGGCACAGTTACTTCATACAGAGGGGACAGGCAATACAGAGGTAAACTTCAAGCAGGAACATATAAGATCACATTTGATGGATTGCCTAGAAAAGGGGCCACTGACACCTTTACCTCAAGATGCACGAGACAACAGTTGTAAGGCATACGATTATTATCAATGCTCAATAACATTAATTTGTAAGTATAGGCTTCCAGAGGTTGCAGGAGAAGTTATTAGATGTCACAGTGGATTATCAAAATCGTGTAACTTAACACTGTGTAGTAGTAGGAAGGGGTCATGGGGGTAACTGTTTATGTAACAATTGTAAAGAGGGTCTAATAGATAAAAGTGAAGCAAATGAGAATAAAATAATTACTTTTACCTCATTGTGTATTATAATATACATTTAATAAATAAATTAAATAAATGTACTTATTTATTTGTAATTAAAATTAATATACTACACTGCAAACTGAGATATATTTGTATATAGATGAGGTGTTTACCAATTTTTGATTATATATGAATATCAACAATGTTGGATATCACAATTGCAATTAACTTTATATTTTAATGGTAGAAGCTTATATACCGATCATGTTTCATAACTATACAAATCTCTTTATTAATGTTTTTATCAGATTCCACAAGTAGAAGTTTTCCGATATCAAAATAAATAACGAATGACTACAGAGAACTAGAGCATGTAACACCAGCATGTATTGTAGAGCGATCAGATTGTTTAAACTTATCACTACATATAGATATATGGTTTCATTACAAATATATATATTAGCTCCTCTAAAAACAGAATCTCGAAATAAAATAAATATAGCAAAAGATACGTGGTCGTTTTGTTTTAATTTTATGTATCTCATAAGGAGTAATTTCAAGTAGTGTTATGGACAAGTTATTGTTATCAAAAAGCGCATTTTTTTACTCTATAATATATTGTTACGTCAGCAAGGTCACGTGACTAGTG